GACGTTTTCTCTCTCAATGTTGTCTTATAATTTATTATTTTATTCTCTTTCATTCTTGTTTTTCATGTTATTTGTTGTTGGTGGTGTTTTTTTCTTTTCCTTTTATGCCAGGATGTTTTGTCCGATGATAAATACTGATAATAAATTTGGTTATCTTTATCTGCCCTCTTTGCCTTGCCCATGTTTTAGTTTTTTTTTTCTTTTTTCTTTTTTTTATGAAAAATTTATTAATGCCGGATTGAAACGCTGAAGAAGACAATTTCATTTCAGATCCAGAATCTCTGCAATAAGTGGATCAAAGTCTTTCCAAAGAAAAGTTTTACTAGCTTCGTTGCAAATGTTTCCAATCTCTCTGACATCGTTCAGTTTCAATAGAACCTTTTGGTAAAGCAACTTGGCGATCATTTCTGGGTATTTAGCTTCGATATAACATCGAAGCCAATATGTAAACTTCTCCTGTGCCTTTTTCACCAGCAGTACATTGGCCACTTCCGATTTCTCCGGATTGAAAAATTCGATCAACATCAGCAGAATCATAATCACTTTGTCCTCGTTTGTGCAAATTTTGAACGACTTTATAAAGTCGGCAATCTGTGTAAAAAGTTTTTCACCGAGAGCATTCTTCAAAATAACCGGGTCCAGATATTTGTCCTGTCCCTTCTGATTACGGAATACGACGAACCCCCCTTTGAAGGAGTAGGAAATCGCAGCCCGAATCGCGAAAACTTCCCGAATGCTGCCCTGAAAAAAAAAAAAAATATATATATATTTTTTTTAATTTCATCTACATCAGATACATTGAAATAAAATTATATATCAATTAATATATATGTGTGTGTGTGTGCGGGTGTATTTAAATCATTTTCAGGTAGAGTAGAACAAAATACGTCAGCTAAGAATAGTTTTTCCTCTCGTCTTTTTATTCATATATATATATATATATATATATATATATATATGTATATATATGTATGTATGTATATATATATATATTTATATATATAAATATATATGTGTGTGTGTGTGTGTGTGTGTGTGTGTGTGTATAAGGCTCAAACACAATATGCATATATATTGACCACTAATATTATCAATATATATTATATATATATATTTTATGTGATATATATATATATATATGCTTTGTGGATTGAATAGTACAGGCTTGGCTTTTCATATTTAAATCATTTTTATTCATTATTCAGTGCATTTTACATTCCTTCATTAATTATTCGCTACTGATCACTGCTATTATTAATAATTATGAAAAGAAATTTATGTACGTGTGTGTGCGTGCGTTCGTACAGTTTATTACATTATTATTCACTTTATATATATATATATATATATATATATATATATATATATATATATATATATATATATATATACATATTGGTGGAGTATCTAATGGGCTTATTTTTTAAAAGGTATTGTTTTTAAGTATATTACTTTATTCTGAATTGTATATAAGACATCCGTTTGTGTTTTTCTTACTGAGGTTTTACATAATATCAGTTTTTAGTTGTCGTCTTTTAAGAAACAAAGTAAAAATTTGTTTCCATTCTGGTATTTTAAGAAAGGTTCTGAGCTATTATTTTGTAATTTGTCGCCATTTTCTACTTGAGATATTTTTTAAGGATTTTAGAATTCTTGCTGATTTTATATTCCATGATATTGTTGGTGTTTTTTTTTTTTTTTAGTTTCCATATATGTTTAGCAAGTGTTGTGCTGCTCACATATTTACTGTTGCTAAAAATATTTTTCTGTGCGTAGTTTTTATGTTTACAGGGTCCTTCATTTGCTCTCAAATATATTTTCTTTTGTTATCTGCTGTTTTTAAAGAGACTTAACATATTGATTTATTTTGCAGGCGGTTGTCGTTTACGGGACATTTGAGTTTCGCTCTCAGTTACACGTCGTCTTTGTTAGTGTGGGTGATTTAGAGGATTATTTCCTTTTATTATTATTCTGTGCCATATTATCAGTGCAACTATAACAGATATTTTCATGCCTTTCAGGTGAATATTTTGCAGAATGGAAAGAAGTGTTTTTGGAAAAACTGTTTTTCCTACGGTTGCTTTTAAGTTTTTGTGGGCTATAGCGACTGATCGGGCCAATGTGAACCACTACATGAGAATCGAACACAATTTTCGAAATAGTTTAACCAAATATCTTTATTACTGGGTCTTAACACAAAACGTGATCCTCTTCTTAATATCTACATGATTACCTATCAAATATTTATGTTATTCAAATATTAATGAGCAGGTGGTAAACTGGGATCATTTGAAAGTCAAGCGATAGTAAATAGGGAATTGAATGTTTTTATTAATATTCCCTAAATTTCTCAAGTAGGATTCGACTTTCCAATGTAGTCTTATCTAATAAACCCGCAGGTTCATAATAATAGTTTGTTTGCCTATTGACTTGATAATTTAATTGCATTCTATTAAAGTTCAAGCAATTTGTTGAGTAGCTTAAATTTAACTTCTCGTAGAGAAGACAGCTGTTGAACATTAACTCTTTTGCCAACCATGTATCCTAGATAAGTGGTCGGACACCTACGACACGCGTGCCACACGCTAAGCTATTTCTAATGGCACGCAGCTGCACATGACATAACGAAGTCCGAACCAATAACTACTACAACGAAAAGATATTTAGCTGTTTCAAAACTGATCACACATTAGATTCCCATTAACAATAAAAAAAACTTTTTAAAAGAGTTTACTTCTATTAATGTGGTTTATATATTATTATTTATATTATTATATAAAATATATTGTAGAACAGGTATATTGACCTTGACTTCTATAAAAATACGTATGCCGTTGGCACACTGAATGATTTTAAAATCTTAAGTCGGCTCATAGTCAGCAAAAGTTTGCAGACCATGTATTCTAGATTATAGAAACAAAAAGAGATCGATTGCCAATGTCGTCGACAAATATTGAACCTTCATTTTATTTTATTCTTGACAGTACTGAAACAGTACTGAAATCGCTTATAACGCAAATTATTAAGACGAAGAGATTATCGACATTGTCTTGGAGGTTTTTTTATTTTTTATACACAGTTGGTTCCGTACAGATATGGCCATTTTTGTGCATGTATATGATCAGTGCGCTGGGATATAAAAACGAGCGTGTATTATTCAAAGAAATCAAACGCCAGGAGAAAATGTTTCCTTTCAACAGCAGATTTTAGTGTGTTACTTTTTCATGTCTTTTCATTAAAAAGACAAACTCTGATTCTGATGTTACCTTTATTGATTTGTTTAAATGAAAATTATGTGCAGGGGTACTTAAGTGTGGTCTTGTTTAAATTTTTGTTCAAAGACTTGTTTCGATTGATCTCCTGTACACTGTTTCAAAATTCATTGATTACTAGAAATCAATTAATTTATCCGTCCCTCTGAAACTGTCATGTTTCATATTTGCATAGTCCGCTGGTCACTTCACTAAGAAGAAAACCGGAGCGAAATTTTGCATCGAAAGATTCGTTGTCAAGAAATTGAAGAACAATATCTCAAACGATGAGGATTATCGCAAACTTGATTTTCCTTTTTATTTACAGACCTTTATTTTAAGGTTGATTTCAATATACACATCTAAAAACAATCTACGGCTTCACTATATTATTATTATTATTTATAATAATAATTATAATAATAATTCCACACCAAGTAAGTCGATAAGGTCACTAAGACGCAAGGAGATACTGAGAGTGAAAGAAATCGAATACAAAATTAAGAGAAAGAACCGGAAACAATCCGAAAACACGAGATAATCCTTTAATTCTTTAAGTAGGGTTCATATTAAAGTCGGTGATATGTAAAACTCTGTTTGGCGTGTAGTTATCGCTGGGAAATATTTGTATTCCTTCTAAATTTTTCTTCCTAATAAGTCATGTTACTTTCGTATGAGGATGGCGTTCAATGTGTTACGAGAGAATTCAGTGGATTGTCCCAAAGTTATCCCGCTCTTATATTCGAAGATAAACCCCGTCATGTTTCTTTCTAACTAGATCCGTCATCCACAAGTAATATCTGATGAAGCTTATATAAAAATGAAACGTGAAATTTAAAAATTCACCAAACTGCTATCAACAAGCACTACTGTTTCAACTTTTTGTTTTATGTATATTATTTTTTCAAACAAATGGAAAAAAAAGCAAGTGACGTTTCACATACGGCTTGCTTGCAAGCAGAATTTTTCATAACATTTTTGGTTCTCACCAGTTGAGGTGCAATTAAAATGCGCCAAAACGAAGTTGCATCTTTGTAATGAATAAACTGTTTTTGTCTATATAATAAAATAATGGTTCATATGAAAGGAACACGGCGCGTAAAAGTATATATATATATATATATATATATATATATATATATAGATAGATAGATAGATAGATAGATAGATACACCTAGTGAGCCAGACAAACCTACCTAGGTTTCACCTAAACGGATCGTCAGGGAAAGGTCTGCTCTACGGTTGTATTTTGTTAGTTGTGACTCGTATCGGGGTTTTTTCTTTGGGCTTCAGACCTGCATCTGTGCGATTTTTTGTCGGCAGAAGTTCATGTTTGTAGCTCTTTCTTTTTTTAAAACCTTTTTTCCCTAGAGATTAATTTGATTAGCAAATCAAAAATTCGAGGGTTTTTTTAAACTAGTCTAGTTATCTATCTATATATATATATATATATATATATATATATATATATATATATATAAATAGATAGATAGATAGATAGATAGATAGATAGATAGATAGATAGATAGATAGATTTAACACTACATAAATTGAAAATATGCGTAGACAAGATGGTAGTAGTTTGATGTTCAAATTAATAAAGAATATGTTTATGACTCTTATCGGTTTCAGAGATTTATTAGTAAGGTACAAGTATTGGTTGCTAACCATCGTGCTACTCTAGACATTCACACGTATGCATTTTTATGTGTGCTATAATATAAACGGATATATAAACGGAATTGAGTTGTTTTATTCGCCCCAAATTTTGAATATTCGCTTTGTGTGATGTAGGTGTTCTAAGTAGCCGAACGCTTATTTTATTAATACAGATTAATACAATATTCCGCTTAACCATGCAGAGAAGCCTGTTTAATAAAAAATTATTCGGGTGCAATCATTCTAAATTATTCTTCATTTAAAGCAAAAACAAATCTAGCGCCGTGAGAAGTGATGAAATGAAAGGTAGTCATAAAGGTTTGGTTTTACTGTATTTGCTAATGTTAGCTATTGAAATTTTCGTGAGGATCAATGAAGCAGATAGATTGACAGCTAGATAAGCATGATAAAATAACATGGAAAAAATGAAGTCAAAATTATTATTAATAGTTTAACAATATTGGAAATATGATTAAGTTGATAGTATTTCTAATGCAGATAAAAGAATGATAATAATAGCACTACTAATATCACCATTTTAAAAACAAATGCGATGCCAAAAGAGATCGTAGAATGAAGGCTAGAGATTAAGGTTAAATTTGATGTCCCAAAAACGCAAGTAACTTTTCATACTCAATTGGCACATTTAACCTGTCTTTTCTGAAAGAAAAAGTCATGATTTCGAAAACTACATAGACTTTTCTCCATTATGCTCCATATGTTCTATTTACTTACTTTAGTAGATTGATGGAATGACTAAAGCAATTATAAAAAATAATTAAAAATTAAATCACTTTTAAACCAAAATTATTAATACTAACAATACTAATAGTGTCATTTATAGTTTTATTACTTAAGTTTTTTGCATTTATTTATTCATTAATTAAGCTTGGTACGAAGCCAATATCATAGTAGCAAAATGAATCCTTTTATATCTTCTTCATATATATATATATATATATATATATATATATATATATATATATATATATATATAATAATGAGTACAGACGATTCTTATAAATCAATTCGGCTATTTCATGAATATACAAATATTCAACTCTTTATACCGAAGTCTTTTAATAAATGGAGTCAAATTATCCAGACGAAAGGGAAAAAGAAGAAAACAGAAAAGAAAAAAATAATATTAAACGAGGAAGAAAGAAACAAAAATTTCAATATATGTTTTATAAAAACAATTTGGTGGGGAGAGAAAGAAGGACGAATTAAACATGCGCCGATAGGATGACCTAGAAATTATTTTTCTTCAAAGTTAAAATACAAGGTAAGGAAGGGGAGTGATCAGATTTAAAATAAATACATTGAATTGTTTGATATTCATGTCATTTTCGACAACGCATTATAATCGTCACAATTTCAAATTCATAATAATAATAATAATAATAATATTTATCTCCCCCAATTTTTTTAAAAAGCTTATATTGAAATTTTTATGTTTCTTTCTTCCTCTTTTAATATTTTTTTCCTTTTCTTTATTCTTCTTTTTTCCTCTCCCTTTTTCTTTCGTCTGGATAAATTGACTCCATTTATGGGAAAAAACTTCGGTCTCAAGAGATGAATATTTGCATATTAATGAAATAAATTATAAACGAATGGATTTGTAATGATCGTCTGTAGTTGTTGTTGTTATTATTATTATTATTATTATTATTATTATTATTATTATTCTGTTACTTACATTGAGCTCGCTTTGGATTAATGAACTCCATGAAATTATCCCTACTAATTATCAATTAATATTGTTCATTGTATATATGTCTGTGCGTGTGGGTGTGTGTGTGTGTGTGTATGCATGTATGTCTGTATATGTTAACATAAGGAACAACAAACAGGGAACGTTTATAAATCTAACATATTAAATATATTTAAATTTTATTAGGATTTTTTTTTGGTGGTGGGCATTTTTTTCCATTATGGAATGAAATTCCAGTATTTTTAATTCTGTGTTGTTTATTTTTCAATGCTCAGATACTCTTGACGTGTATTTGATTTGTAATATCAATGTGCGTGTGTTTGTTTTTAGATTTTAGTGAGAATGTTTGAGTGTCTGCGTATTTGTGTATCATATTTCTAGCGATAATGTGTGTGCATGTGTCTAGTGGCAATTTTCTGGTCTGATAACGTCCATATGTTGATTAGGAGATGTTCAGTATGGGAGTGAAAATCTTGGATTACATCGGCTGCAGGTATGGGGACCTTAGATTCTTTAAGTATGGTTCATATTAAAGTCGGTGATATGTAAAACTCTGTTTGGCGTGTGGTTATCGCTGGGAAATATTTGTATTCCTTCTAAATTTTTCTTCGTAATAAGTCATGTTACTTTCGTATGAGGATGGCGTTCAATGTGTTACGAGAGGGTTCAATGGATTGTCCCAAAGTTATCCCGCTCTTATATTCGAAGATAAACTCCGTCATGTTTCTTTCTAACTAGATCCGTCATCCACAAGTAATATCTGATGAAGCTTATATAAAAATGAAACGTGAAATTTAAAAATTCACCAAACTGCTATCAACAAGCACTACTCAGTCACCTTTTTGCTTTATGTATATTATTTTTTCAAACAAATGGAAAAAAAGCAAGCGACGTTTCACATACGGCTTGCTTGCAAGCAGAATTGTTCATAACCATTTTTGGTTCTCACCAGTTGAGGTGCAATTAAAATGCGCCGAAACGAAGTTGTATCTTTGAAGCAAATAAACTGTTTTTGTCTATATAATAAAATAATAATAAATAATTATTGGTTTACTATCGGTATCGAGCCCTCTTTTGTATTAATGCTGTGAACGTTAGAATTTATATAATACTTTCGTCCTTATTTCATCGGATATATATATATATATATATATATATATATATATATATATATATATATATATATAATCAGGAGGCAATTCTGGAAATCTGAAAGTGTGGGAGGGTATTTGGGTGCCGAGATTTTTCTGCGGAGGAGAAGGGGGTCAAATTCAAAAACGTCTTTATTTTCATACTACCCCACTATCGTATACACAACTTAGAAATGAGTTTTAGTATGTCACTTCACTAAATTGAACGGAATAACTTTTTATTCATAGTTGTGGAGTTTTATTCTCGCCATCTTTTCCACTCTCCAGCTGTTGGGCCACAAGAGAGGTTAATTTCAAAACTAAATCAAAGGGTTAATACTAACGTCAATACTGGCAGAACAGTGTAATTTGTCGGATCTGAAATTTTTTTCACTACAAAACTTAAAAAAGTGGGCGGACCAACCAAAGGGCCAGCCAAAATTATTTTCATTGGTCTATTATGCCACTCCCGCAGAATCGCCACAATATATATATATATATATATATGCGTGGGTCACCTTCGGAAAGTGTCTGAAAGTCATGCCATGGATTGACGTTTTTGAGAGAAAATTGGTAGATGGCATTCTTCGTCAATGGTTGAGTTAGTACGAATCACAAGTCATTGTGACTGAGGGTGTTAGCGTACTGGACATGTCCGCTCAGCTGACTTGCACTAGAAGCCATATGTTGGCAATGAAGGTCTGGAACAAAAACAAATGTGCCTGTGCAGCTGATTATAAGGGATTTGTTGACGCCCAAGCAGACAGGCATACATGAATACAAACGGCCAGCCAGTGACGGTAGTTGATTTGAATATCACATTGAAGATGTTGATTAATATTATTTTAGTTGTTTTTTTTCTCTCAAATTTCATTAATCGGCCTATATATATATATATATATATATATATATATATATATATATATATATATATATATATATATATTAGTGTTTAAGCCTTTTATCATATCCTTATTCTGTCCTGGACATTGAGTTCTACCTGGATTCTATCCTCTTTGAACTATTTTTATACAAATAAATATGTATGTGTATGTATGTATGTATGTATGTATATATATTTAGATATTTTAGATATATGATTGCATATGTATGTATATTTACCACTAATATTATCTATCTATCTATCTATCTATCTATCTATCTATCTATCATCTATATATATATATATATATATATATATATATATATATATATATATATATATATATATATGTATAGTATACAGGGGAAGCAGATCATTATTTATATATGTATTGTTAAATATAACCGACTTCGAATGTCTATTATGTTTTATCATGAGCCTTTCCAAGTGTCGTATAATGGCTTTAGTTTCAAAAGAAAATAAAGACAAAAACTTGTCCACATCTGGATATTTCTTTATTATATTGGTCCACGATCTAAGCTTTCCGCTCAGATGAGCCGTCATTTGAGTAATTATATGAACATTAGAACACAGATGCTCACTGTCAAATATGACATCCACTTTTGTTTAAATATATGTTTGCATATATATATATATATATATATATATAGATAGATAGATAGATAGATATACGTCAGTGAATGGATACTGTATGTATGTTTGTGCATTTCATATTTCTCTACTAATCATATATTTTACCATCTCTGGAATAGTCAATATTGGAAAAGTTAAAAGAATTTCAATAAAATAATATTTTTTCTCACCTACATATATTAATGTTGAATTATACGTACCATGAATATCGCAATGCGGTCTTCATGGGCCAGCTTTTGAAAGTCAGGGATCGTTTTCATAAAAGATATCACCAGGGTAATGCTTTTATACATGCACTCGATCGAGTCATACGGTATGTTAGGTTCAATGTTTTCTTCGATTTTACAATTGCCGCTGAAAATGTCCTCGTGATGTTGCACCAGTTGCCTTATAGGATACAGCGTGTACCGTACGTCTTTCTTTGAGTTGAGCAAATTCCAGTAGATGTCTGACAAAATTGGATACTTGTCAACTGGCATCGTTATTTGTTTGTATTCATTTTCTACAATCGGTTGACTCGACACCGTCATCTCCTTTTCCGTGTCCGAGAAGATGCCGACTGATGTCGTAGAAGTCGATGACGTCGACGAATGGTTTGATTGATTCGAGTAGGAACCTGACGGAGATAGTGCCGACGATTGAGAAGATTTCAGTTTCTTTTCGTTTGCTTGGCTGAGACGTTGTCTTCTTTTGGCCAATTGCTCTTCATCTGTTGAATGGCATAGAAAGAAAAAGAACAAATGACAGTAGAGAATATGTATTGTATTCTTAAAGTAAAGTCTCTAAAGAAACAAATAAATAGATTGAAAGATTGGCGCATTTTACCCCCAGAACAAACAAATCCTCTCTAATCAAAATTGCCATAAACATATTTATTGGCCTAAAATATTTATGAAAGCGAAAGGCAAAGTTAAAAAAAAGTCATTCCGCGTCTTATATCCTGATAGGTTGGGTAAGTTTTGAGTAAAACGGCATATCCTTTTTTTCATACACCAATCTTTCCCTTCAATCTTCCTTGGGTTTTGTAGCCTGTTTGATAAAACGTGAGGATTAACTTATAACTGCACCTAAATATTAAATCATAAATTATTTAAAATTATGGTCAAAGAGTTCATAATACAGATGAATATTTAATTTCTATCAACATAATCAACAAACCCAGATAAATATGGGGAAAGTTTAGTTAATGTTTGACCTTAGACGTAAAGAGAGCAAGATTCTAGTTATCAGCGAAACATCTATCCGTTCCATAGTTTTGGGGAAGAGGCATTCTGATTGGAACTTTTGAAAGCAACACAAAATAATGAGGATGGTTTGTCCCCATGAATATGCTCTACATGTAACTTGTCCAAATATCTGGCATAATAGCGATAGAGTAATGACTGAATAGTAAAATTCTGTCTGTGAGGTAAGGGTTCCAAAATGAAGAATATTAGATGGTCATATAAGCGCCTTTGGACTATGTCAAATCTGGACAGTGTGAATTGTTCAGCACTAGTCACTATACATCAACAATATCAATTCTTGGTGTTATCTTACTTCTGTTTTACTGGATTTCTTCTTTTATTCCATTGTGCTGGTTAGGGATATGGAATTTTATTGAACAGCTTCATATGTGACTCTCAGTAGCGAGACAATGTAGTGTTTTTAAAAAAATGTATGTGTTGAATTTTATTTGTTGTTGTTTATACCTTTAAATATATTAGTCCCAGTTCTAATGTCGCGTAATCCTGAATAATGTTTAGCTCACATGATGAGATTATATGCATTGACTTTTATTTAAACATATCTATCACAGAATGTGTGAAATGTAACTCTTGATTGCGTTGTCGAATATATTATAATATCTAATGTGTGACATATATCTTAAAGTTTGCGCTTTGTCCGGTATAAGTAGAGGCTTGTGTGTATATTAGTAGATACATTTGTATTTAATAAGAGCAAACGCCTTTAGTTTGTTGCAAAATATCGATGTGTTTTATTTATTCATTAACTACATCAAGTCAGTAGTATTTTCTGGCGCAAAATACTGATTATCTATTCGGTTATTACGTCATAACTAATATACTTTAGTCCCCCACTTTAGATTTTATATTAATATAAGAGTGTTGGTCAAAAATAATGTTTGTTCTCGTTGTTCTTGCGAAAATCCCTAAAGTACCGCAAAGCTCAAAGAAAAATTATGAAGTTAGCTTTTCATTTCTTAATTCTTTTTTCGAAACAACCGCCTCTGTTTGCAAAGAGCTGTTATAGAATTTCTGTTTTTGGAACGATAAATTGATGCAGATATTCACAGAAGCTAAAGGATTAATTATGGAAAGGCTGCAACTGATGTATGATGTATCAGTAGAATCAAGGGCAATACTTAACAGAAAGAATAAATCCATCGTAATGAGTCAATACTCAGTGGTAAGCTAGCTGATGCTATGAATGAAGGTTAAAACAAAGAGTTCTATGTTTTTATTAGATCTGAGAGAAGAATCTCTGCTTCTGAATTATTTGAAAGCCTTCAGGTGAAGTATAATAGTACCTGAAGATTATTGTATTCTTTTGGATACTCAGAACTTTTCGAAAACTGAGTTCAGAGAGTATTGAGACCTATCAAAAAACAGAGATTGGTTACTGCCTAAGATTTTCTGACCTGCCACCCTCAGTATTACATGAGTTTGGCCTATAAAAAAGGCATCCTGAGATCTCCAAAGATAATGTGAAAAATGTAACTTACACCTGAGAACAACAAACCTCTATCAGGGGGGTATAAATGCCCTCATTAAATATGTAATGCTATGACAAGGATAGAAGGTGATCACTGCTGTATGTGATATTCGTCAGGAAAAAAAAAAACAATGGTCAGAATTTAATTTAATGTAAGGAACTTTATTCTGAGAAAGGTTGCTTTGAAATTACCCTAAAATGAACATTGTACTCGTGTCACTTCAGCACATCAGAGAGTCCAGTTGTATGAGTGGTTGACTTAGAAGGTAACCTTCTAGTCACCAGGTGCAAATTCACGCTTCACTAGATAATGTTAGAGGCTGTCCATATTAAAAATGGTGATCGATCCAGCAGTGATTAGGATGTTTGCTCGTGAGGCAACCTGACAACAACAAGATGTATCAGTAACCACTTGATATGGAAGATACAGGTTATATTATATTTCCGTGAGAAGAAGAATCTACGTGAGAAGATATCTCCCGAACTCACTCACCCTTTTGTTGATATTAAATGACGAAGTCCGGAGGTGAATAAGCATTAATTTTATGTATCAAATGTTTATTTAATTCTATGTTCTTATTTTCTTTTACACGCTGATAACGCTGCACTTTCGTGAGGATTTGACATTGAGTGTATTTTTTAAATAATTCTTCACCCTGTACAAGATACAGAGTGGTACTTAATCAACAGGAGAGGCGGAGGTAACAAATACATATTAAGAAGTGCTGGTCTGTTGGAATGAAAGGACAGACAGTTTTTTATCGATGCCCGTATGAATTTTAACCTCATAACTGAGTTTTTGGTCTGATATTTATTTGGCCGGATATTTATTTCGTCAGAGAGTTGTTTTGTCCGATATTTATTTCACCAGTTATTTATTTCGTCTGATATTTATTTGGTCTGATATTTGGTCTGATATTTATTTCGTCTGATATTGATTTGGTCCGATATTTATTTCGACTGGTATTTATTTCGTCTGATATTTATTTGTTCCGATATTTTGTCCGATATTTATTTCGTCTGATATTTATTTCTTCTGATATTTATTTCGTCTGATATTTATTTCGTCCGATATTTGGTCTGATATATATTTCGTCCGACATTTATTTCGGCTGATATTGATTTGGTCCGATATTTATAACGACTGGTATTTATTTCGTCTGATATTTATTTGGTCCGATATATATTTCGACTGATATTTATTACGTCTGATATTTATTTGGTCCGATATTTGGTCTGATATTTATTTGGTCCGATATTTATTTCGTCTGATATTTATTTGTTCTGATATTAATTTCGTCTGATATTTATTTGGTTCGATATTTGGTCTGATATTTTTTGGTCTGATATTTAATTGGTTTGATATTTATTTGGCCCGATATTTATTTCTTCTGATATTTATTTTGTCTGATATTTATTTCGTCCGATATTTATTTCGTCCGATATTTATTTGGTCTGATATTAATTTCGTCTGATATTTATTTGGTACGATATTTATTTCGTCTGATTTTTATTTCGTTTGATATTTATTTGGTCTAAAAATTATTTGGTCCGATATTTATTTCTTCTGATATTTATTTCGTCTGATATTTATTTCGTCTGATATTTTTTTCGTATGATATTTATTTCCTCTGATATTGATTTGGTCCGATATTGATTTAGTCCGGTATTTATTTTGATTGGTATTTATTTCGTCTGATATTTGCTTAGTCCGATATTTATTTGATCCGATATTTATTTCATCTGATATTTATTTCGTCTGATATTTATTTCATCTGATATTTATTTGGTCCGGTATTTATTTCGTCTGATATTTATTTAGTCTTATATTTATTTCGTCTGATATTTATTTGTTATGATATTTATTTGTTATGATATTTATTTCTTCTGATATTTATTTCGTCTGACATTTATATGGTCCGATATTTGGTCTGATACTTATATAGCCTGATTTTTATTAGGTCCGATATTTATTTGGTCTGGTATTTATTTCGTCCGATATTTATTTCAAATGATATTCATTTCAAATGTTATTTATTTCGTCTAAAATTTTTTCGTCTGATATTTATTTCGTCTGATATTTGTTTGGTTCGATATTTATTTCAACTGATATTTATTTCGTCTGATATTTTTTTCGTCTGATATTTATTTGGTCCGATATTTAATTCGTCTTATATTTATTTCGTCTGAGATATTTTTCGACTGATATTTATTTCTTGATATTTATTTCGTCTGATATTTATTTGGTCCGATATTTGGTCTGATATTTATTTAGTCTGATATTTATTTGGTCCGATATTTATTTCCTCTGATATTTAATTCGTCTAATATTTATTTGGTCCGATATTTATTTGGTCCGATATTTATTTGGTCCGATATTTTTTTGGTACAATATTTATTTGGTCTGATATATATTTGGTTTGATATTTATTTAGTTGGATATTTATTTCGTCTGATATTTATTTCGTGTGATATTTATTTCGTCTGATATTTATTTGATCTGATATTTATTTCCTCTGATATTTATTTGGTCCGATATTCATTTCGTCTGATATTTATTTGTTCCGATATTTATTTGTTACGATATTTATTTGCTCTGATATTTATTTCGTCTGATATTTATTTCGTATGATATTTATTTCCTCTGATATTTATTTGGTCCGATCTTTATTTCGTCTGATATTTATTTGTTACGATATTTATTTGGTCTGATATTATTTGGTCTGATATTTATTTGGTCTGATATTTTTTCGTATGATATTTATTTGGTCGGACATGTATATCGTCTGACATTTATTTGGTCCGATATTTATTTCATCTTATATTTATTTGATCCGATATTTATTTCGTCTGATATTTATTTCCTCTGCATCTTCGGAATTGATTAGAATCTATTTTGTACTATTATTCAAGATCAAGCATCCGACAAAAACTAATTACTAAATAAGTAATTCACGTATTCACTTTCCCTACATCGATCGACAAGAAATTTCT